GAGAACTGCCGCTCACTGAATATTTTATCTTTTTCATACCATACTCTGTAATTCCTAGAGATGGTTGTGCATGAAAATCCCAGTAGATCAGCAGTTTTTAAATTACTCAGACCAGTCCGTGTGGCACCAACAGCCATGCCATGTTCAAATTCACTTAAATCACCTTTCTTCCCCATTCTGATGCTCGGTTTGAGTAGATCATCTTGACCACGTCTACATGCCTAAATGCATTGAGCTGCTGCTATATAATCGACTGATTAGATATTTGCATTAATGAGCAATTGAACAGATATACCTAATAAAGTGTCCAGTGAGTGTATATACTTGGGTGTTACATGAGTGGAGTGGATTTGAACCCTTAAAGTGACCGGTGTTTCAAATTTGATTGCATTTGTTATTGTCTTTCATTAGGCAGGTAATACAGGATACAATACTGCTTACCATGGCTTATGACGCTTGTCAATGCAAGACCAACAATCACCCTCCAGGAACACTCCACTCTCTATTACTGCTTTACTTTATGTGCCTTTGGATACAAACAATATTAGCAGAGAACAACTCTGCACAAAAACATTATTGAATCAGGCACACATGCACACATCAAGCCAACCTTTTTTTTTCTTTTAAATCGCATGCACATATTTGTACTTTTTCATTTAGTGAATCAGAGCAATCATGTTTTTGTCTTGGTACTACTGTTAACTCAAACAAATATAATCCCAATCAGAATATACACAGGCCACAGTGAGTTTTGCTGTATAGTAAAAAGTGGGCTGATTTAAAAGCAAATAACATTTCAGAAACTCTAGACAAATCCTGAACAGCAAGATTGCTAGTTTATGCCTGTGGGCAAGGTCACATCTGATCACAAATGACCCCTCACCAAACTGAGGATAAAATAGAATGTAAAGGTCCAATTTTCCAAAAAAGCTGTGTTTAAATGAAAGCTGTGCTTTTCCCGTTCTTGCAAGATGACTTCAGGTCCATAAAGCAGACATCTCCAGGTATCTACTTGCCCCCTCTAGCTTCAATCTTTAGAGCTCCAACAACCCCCCCACACCCCACCCCAGAATACATGTTGACAGCTACCAACAACTCATCCACCTGATTCATAGTTTGCCAGCCTATTTGCAACTTGTTGTCTTTCTATTGTGCTCAGCCAAAAGAAGTGGGGGAGTGTCAGAGAAGATGGGCAAGTTATTAAACAGGAAGCTGCAAGGGAAACAGGAAGCTGTCTAGGATTTTGGGTAAAGCCAGCTGCCATGAAGATAAACTGCTTGGAAGTACCTGCTTTCATTACTTCTAAATATGAAAAAAAAAACACCAGAGCAAGCATTAAGCCTCGGGGTAACATGGGCTTTCTGAAAGGGAACATGAGCACTGCAAAATGACACCATGAAATCAGATCCAGAAAAGGACCCACCAACATTTCCATATGGTGCTGACAAAAAAACCATTGCACCTTTGCTAGTAACTGAGATTTAAATATCAGTGCAAGGTACTTGTAGAACAAATATTAAAGAACAAATAACACAATGCATATACAATATATTATATGCCTTTTTCTTTTTTTTTTCCTAGGCTCGAGCCATCCTCAATTCCTCATAAATACATCATATATTTTCATAATTCTTAAAGTGGCCCAAATGTGTGGAATTTCTTGTATAGGCAGATAGAGAATGATGAGGTTTTTTTAAATCATTTCTTTCTATCCTAAGCTGAGCTATTTTTCAAATAACTCAACATTTAAAAGTAATTAAATATTTATATTACCATCACGTTATGAATTTGATATCACTACGGCATGACAATAAAGTTTAACGTGTTACGCTGTGCTACAAAGAACATCAAAGTCTTTTATTCACAATCAGTCAGTGATGCTTCATGTCTGTCTACCATTTCATAGCAGAACCTAAGTACTACAGTTTTTAGAAATCGGAGCACCTACTGCTAAGTCACTGACTCCTAATGTTATTACTGACAGCAGTAATAATCACGGCCGCTCTTGAAAAGAAAGGAAGGAAGTCCCCTGTAGTTCTTGTCATCCCAATATACTTTGCAATCAGAAAGGAGCAGACAAATCAGCATGTATCCTTTTTTTTTCAGAATTGTGATCTACATGAGGAAACTGAAATAGAGCAGCAATAGACAATGAGAATATTATTACTTGCTGCTCCAATTGTCATGATAATGTTGGTTTACTTTATTTCGAACCATTACCCTGAATACAAAAAGGGTAAATTGGGCTCTGACACTCATCATATTCACATTTGACATATTAGACTTGATGAAGTGATTCATGAAATCTGCAAGTTATCAGTTTTCTAAAAAATGCCTTCTTTTAAAGGCAATGCAGAGTCTATTCCATGGTTTTTCTGGTAAACGTATAGAAGATCAGCTTGACTTAAAAATAAACGTATTAATATGAGGTAATGGTTTAAAAAACGTATTTCTATGTATAATTTGTAATTATACTGTACTTGTACATGGAGGCAGCCATATTTGCCCATTACATATGCAGGCTCTGCATCCTGCATTGCAGTGCTACACAATGATTGTGCTTAGGAGGGCCATCCCTCTAATGAGGTAGCCTGAGGCTGTTGCTTAAGGCGGCATCTCTTTGGGTCATGTGGAGGAACGGTAGGCAGAGTGGCATGGCCGCTCTGCTACACAATGTTTGCAGTGTGCCTACCCCCCTTTTATGGCTAAAGCATCCCAGGTTGCTAAGAGCCAGTTGGGAAGAAGTGCAAGGGTCATACAAATCTCCCCGTCCAGCTCTTAGCAACCTGGGACGTTGTGGCTGGCGGCCCACCCAGCTCCTTGCAACTAGCAACATCACTAATTGCCAAGAGCTGGGCGGGAATAAGCCCCCTGCCTACACCCCCACAACCAATGAGCCACGGCTTGTGGGGAAGAGGCCTTTCTCCCCATTGGCATGAGGACAAGGTGCTTTTCTGGCCCTGCCAGGCCTATGCTCGGATCAAGGGTCTGGTATGAAATTTTAGTGGGGCCCCCACGTTTTTCCCAATTTTTTCCCATTTTTGGGGGTGGGGTTCCTCCCTAAAATACCTACCAGACCTTAAGGGCCTGGTATGACTTTAAGGGGGAACCCCACACACTTTTTGTTTTTTTTTACATGGAGTACCTCCTAAATATTCCTACCAGACCTTAAGAGTCTGGTATGACTTTTGAGGGGAACCTCAAACTTTTTTTTTTTTAAATGGGAAACCTCCTAACATTCCTACCAGACCTAAAGGGTCTGTCTGATTGTTTTGGGAGGGGGAACTGCACGGTTTAAAAAATAAAAAAATAAATGTAATTTTTTTTCTTTTGAAATATCAGGTTTGCTGCAGCAGGTTCTATACATTGTGCAGCTGCACCACTTTAAAGGCAGGTTAAGGGGACCCCCAGGCATGATATTTAACCCCTTCGTGACTGACGACGTACAGTGTACGTCGCCAGCATCGGGGCTGGTTAAAAGTTTTAATGTTACCCTTTAAGTGATGCTAAAATCCCCAATCCTTTAAAAACTGTATTTTTAAAAAGTTTTATTTTTATTTTTATTGATTCATGTCTCGCAAGGGCAGTATCCGAATTCACTTACACATTTTATGGCCAATAACTTGCATATAAGTCCTCTTAAAGGGGACAATTGTTTTTGAAAGTTGTACCACCATAGACTTGCATTGAGTTCGAGTTCGAATTCAAACCTTTTGGATGTTCTAAAGTTTGAATTCAAACCAAACTTGGGCCTGTTCAGCCCATCATTACTCTTAGTGGAAGGGTTCCTACATGAATCAACAATTGTGTAGGGTTATATCTGTGGATGCCCCCAATTGGGTATCATGGAAACATACTAATGACATAGGGGTCTATTCACAAAGCTGCCGAGGGCAGCCGAGTGAATGACCGATCAGAAGTGAAGTGAGCCGAACACTGTTCGGCTATTCACTTCAGGCTGGTACGGCTGATTTCAGCCGTACATCGGCTGAAATCAGCCGTACATCGGCTTGCTTCGTGTGGCTTCGGATCAGCCGAACATGCTCAGCATGAGGGCTATTGTGAATAGCCCGTACAGCACCCCCTCGGTTCTCCTGAACCGAAGGGGTCCTGGGGCCGAAGCCAGCCGAAGGATCGGCCGAAGCTACGGCCAGATCCTTCGGCAGCTTTGTGAATAGACCCCATAATCACACTATGCATACAATTATGAAATCTCACATCAAGCAAAGACAATTGAAGCTATGCTTCTTATGCAGCGATGTGCTGTGTTGTTGTATGTCAGATATCAAGGATATTTTAAGAGACCCACCAGATCATTAATTTCAACAATAATTTTCCTATAAGATTAGATTTGCATTTAACATATTTTAGGCATGTAATTTACCTGTAAAAGACTCACTTGTGTAGACCTAAAACCCCACTAAAACATCCTAAAACCCTAAGACGGCTTCTAGGGGCTGCCATCTTGGATGCGATGTCAGCAGCCTCGGCAAACTCAAAGCTGTCACTCAAGTGACACTCAATAGTATTCTCCATCACTCCTCACCCGGCATCTACATAAAAGGTAATGTAAGGAGGAGAGGGGAGGGGTAGAGGAGCTGGTCCATCACAGAGAGTTATTAGAAACTCCCAGAAGAGGAGAAGGTTATGATGTGCAAAGAGCATGGAGTCTGTACTAGGGAAATGACTCTTCTGAACTAGTCAAATTTACAAGCAAGTTCAGAGGCACATTGCAAACAAACAAACATTGTTTAGAAAAAGTAAAAATGCAGCAAGTAATCATTTTAAATACTTAATTTTTCTGTGAAGTTATGACAGGGTCTACCTAAATATCACTGGGCCATCTCTATCACCTAACTTATATTCCAACCAATCAGTAAACCAGCTATTATCACCAACAGTTTGGAATAGAAGAAATACTTGTACTGTGATGTGAGAGGGAATACGGTGAGAAAACACACTTTGATTCTACCCTGTTAGGATAAAAAGTAAATACTCACTGCTTTCTGTGCTTCCTGACTTGTTTTCTTTTATTTTTTGGACTGGTTGAGCTAGAAAAAGGAGCATTCTGTTAACTGCAACATCTGAGACAACAACGGCTGCAACAATCATGATAAAGTTCATACTGTTCACACTGCGCATGGTACTGCTCATGTACATCAATGGAGAGATGCCAAATACAAACACCGCACATTACAATATAACCCATTTTAAACTTACACCAACCAGCATAACACATTTCAAACATATAATATGATGTACACAGCAGGTCTGCAGAGCTAAGATGTGCAGAAAATAGATTTAATCTAAAAGTAAAGTCTGACAAAAACAATCTGTATGGCTGTAAGGAAAAATAGATTACACTGGGAAGCCATGACAATTTTATAGCTATGGCAATTAGGATTTCTTAAGGCTGACTGCATCTGATCCACATTTCAACATGTATTTACTCACACTCTATTACAAAAAGCTGTACAGACAGGAATATTGGAGCTGCCATTCTTCTGAAAATGCTAGTTGCCTGGCTGACTCTTTCTCTCCTAGTCTAAGTGCTGCTGTGCAAGGAATGATATAGTCAAATTCAGGTATGTATGCTGATGGTATGTAAAACTGAACTTATGAACTAATTTCAAGGACTACACAACTACGTTAGCTGGAGTTTTAAGTTAAGTTAACAACAATATTAAAGTATTGAATGATCATCAGAAGGTCACTTAACCTGTTGGCTTGTTCCTGGAATCAAAAAGTAAAGGAAGTATTTTGCACCTTGGAAAGTCAACCATTCATTTATTATGTCTTGCTGTTTGTCTTTCTAGAGCTGGCCATACACTTGGCAAATCAGTCAATTTTAACCACCAGGAATTGTAAATATGATTGCAAGTAATAGCCAGAAACTTCACTATCTCCAACAATTTGCCAAGTGTATGGTCAGCTTAAGAGAAAAAAAATGGGCAAGTTACAATGCAGAAAATCAAAATTGAGTGCCTTTGGCTGGTAGTAAATCTGAAGTTTTTTCTGCTTATGAACAAAAAAGTCAGCCAGGGAAAATCAGGCTGGAGAGAAAAGAGGGGACCTGGATGATGCTGGATGTCCTTCATCCAAGATATGATTTGGACTTCTAATACACACTGTAAAAAGCCTACAACATGCAGTAAAATCAGAGTAATCAATTTCAGTGCAAGAGAGGAGTCTGAACAACTGTGTAAGACTGAAGGTAAGGCTGGAGATCGGCTTTAAAGCTTTCTGAATTTAGTCTCCATATACTTTATTAGAAGAAATGGTGCTGGCATTGCTGATCTAGTTCCAAAAATTCTAGTTGACTGACTGTTATGCTGACCTATTATGCTTAATACAAGAAAGTAGGAGATAAGACATTTGAGCCACTGATTAAATGTATTGAAGTTGGCATTTTCAGGATAGATAACCATTGGCTGCTTCCACATTTCCATGTCTTGGCAAATTTCTTTAGACCCTTATGCAAGTAGTAACTTTAACACAAATTAATAGACTTTAAAAAGATACAGTAAATACTGGAATAACAGAACCAGATAACTTTATCGTAGCTTGTCTCATATGCCCATATTTTTTATATGGACATCTGAATTCAACATCATTGCAAATTATGTAATGTATTTTTATATATGAACCTAAAGCCCTGGTTCCTTTAGTTCTATGCTCTTCTGTGGTCTGCTAGTTGCCAGTCAGTCAGAATGGCTGATAGGTTTGCAGGTGGCCAATAGGTGACCCCATAAAAAGATGATTATACAATACAAGCAATCATTTACACTTTCACACAAATGTTTATGGAGACTGGAACCTATGTCACAAGACAGTGTGGACATTTTATATTGTAAAATGACCTGCCTCTTAAACAATAATGGCATGTACTGAATCCTGGATGTGTATATATGGTAAAAAAGGTTTTCCTGGTAGTATGATACTTCATTGCATGAGGTCATAACCATATGCATGTGAAGGACTTATGTCTTGTGTTGTATAAAGATTTGATCACTACTGTGTGTGCGAGCTGGATATTTGCATAGTTTTGTTATAAGTATATTTACAGTGTATATCATGTTGAGCTTGGCAATAGTTGCTGAATACTTGAACATTGTCATAATACTGAATGGCTCCAAAGCATTCTAATCCTGAAGTAAAGAATGCTATGTCACTTGAATGTGTATGTGAATGTAAGTATATCATAATATATTCCATGTGCAATAAAACTTACCAGGGAATGCTAGAATTGGAGGTGTTTGGATCTACTGATGCTGTGTATAATCATGCAACCACATCCATATTGGCACACTCTAGCTATACACACTAGGAGCATTTCTTAACTATGGAAATTATAACTGCACTGGAATGAGGTGTGATCTAATAAGGTGATGGGTACCTTCCATGCACTCCCCTGCCACCACAATTAGCCACCAGAGTGCTTTACAATCCTACTGCAAGTAAGCTGAAACCTGCACATGGCTCAGAAAAAACCTACTCAGCCTTATGTGACAGCATTGGAGATTGAGGATCTGCTCCATGGGCACCCTATGCTGCAGTGTTGTGAGGGAGTAGGGGGGTATTAGTATTTCCCCATAGCCAAAGTATTAGTGGCTCCAGTAGTGGATTGAGTAAAAAACAGGAAAGCCTGCTTGGGATGCCTCATATAAAACAGACCTGTTACGTTTCATAGCAGGTTCACTTTAAACTTATGTACGTGAACTTTCTCTATATAAAAAATATTTTTGCTACCAGTGATAGTACATCTTTGTCTATAGGCTATAAATAGTATCTTCAACTCTATATTGTAAACGTGTTTGGTGATGGATGTTGTTTAAAGTGGAAGCAAGAATAGATGAATTACAAATATATATCTGAGGAGAAACGTGTGCCACCTATATTGAGATTAATATTAGCTAATCATACAAGACCTAAACAAGTGCAGGCAACATGAGATTGGACTGGCCTATATTTCTATGCACAAGATGAGACTTGGGAATATGTTGTAATTACATGTAGCCAGAAAGAGTGTCAAGAGAACTCAATGTTTCAAACAGATCAATTTATTGAAAGGTTAATGGCTTGCCTTGGTACTATGGAGTAAAAATGTGAACATGTCAAGTAATATCATAAATTGTAATAAAATGTTGAAATGTACAATGTACATTTTTGTAAATGAAGATAAGCATTTTAAATGACAGGTAAATACAGGCAAACCATCAGCCAATTTGTTAAACTAGTATAGTTATATGTTACAAAATCACTGAATGTCACCATTGCACAGACAATATCAGTCCTGAGACCTGCCTTTCTAATATACCTTAATACAGCCAATGCTTGAAGTAGACCTTCACTCTAGAAACTCACTTTCCGCTATCACAATCCTCCCTCCTCCATAACACAAAAAATGCACCATTATTTAAAATGTTTTTTATTAATGGTTGACCCGTCAACCCCCGCTATTCCCCTTAGGCAAGAATGACCTGAAGCTTTCTCCAGCAGCCTCTTGGGATACCAACATCGTATATCCAAGGAGGTTGAAGGAGGCTTTCCCCATAGGGCCAAACAAATCATCATTAATTTGGCATTGTGTGATCGGGGGGCAGCTACAGGAACCCGTGGTAGACAGACGGCTCCCAATGATAAAGTAAACAAAGAGTGGCAAGGGAGAAAACATAGATTTGCTGGGCTGTGGGTATATATTTCCTGGATAGAAGACCATTAAAGGTAAGTGGCATATTGTGGGAATGGGTAAAGTTCTTCTTTAAAACAAATGCATATACATTTATTTTATCCAAAATCATTAAATAAAGGCTTATCTGCCTTGATAAATCATTTTATCGATAATAACAATGAGCTCCCTGTGCTACTAAAATCGTACTCTTTTGACTAGTTACATACTTGTTGATGAAAAGAAAGTGTACCTGTTATATTTAAATTGCACACCTGGGACAATTATGGCAGCCAGCAAGGGACATTAGAGCTGCATCATTTTTCAAGGTTTTCTTGGCACAAAGGATGAGCACATAGAGCAAACAGGAATAATATCAGTTGCTCAATGGGTTTAAAGCTATGGGTTGTGCACTGATGGAGAGGTCTTCACTAAGTACACAAAATATTCCAAGTAACCATGAAAGAGGACCTGTCTAATCTGACCTTGCTACTCTTGTTGATTAGCATATGACTGCATGATACAAAGGCACCTTCATGCCATCATAAAGCTGACACATTAATTTGTAACTGTAGGCATATATAGAAACTATGTTGTATTTAACATATAACATACATCACAAAACATACATTATTCAGCAAAGAAAAAAAATGAAGGAACAAAATAGCCACAAGCATGTAAAGAAGACCTGGGAGAGACTTACCTGTGTCTGTGTCTCTTGGAGGAAGACCTAAAAAGAAAGAACCAGGATTCATAAGTTGTTTCCATTTACAATAGATGTGATTTTAACATTTGTCATTTTCATAAATACACATGACACATGACAATGATATTTATTGCATTGAATGGAAATAACTATGTGAAGGTAATTGGATTTCCCACTCTCTGCTTCAGGCTCCTCTTTGCAGTCCCTCCACAGTTCCCTTCCATAGAATCCTGAATGTACTGATATATATTGCTGTAGCTGACAGACTCACACACTTTAGATATAGAGGTTCTATATCTGGCCCTTTAACAATGTGGGGGCGAAAAGAAGGGAACCCATCATTTTAGTACATGTTAGGAGCTCAGTCTCTTGTATACAGGTGTTTATGATATCAGAGGTTTTTGCTTTCATAGCACCATTCAGAGTTTCACATCTAAATACCTGAATTTCTCCATGGAAACTGCTGTCAAGAGCTGCTTGATACATTTTCTCACAGTAAATGGAACGATATGTCACAGCAGTGAGGCCTTATAGACCACAATTTCTCAGGTCTCTGTTATCAGGTGATAACATATTTCATTTATATTCTAGTCCACAATTTTTCCTTTCTAATACTTTGAAACCATAAAAATATATTTAGTCGACCACCTATTATTTTCCTAATGACTATATGCATATGTATACCTCCATAGGAGCTCACAGGTTGCTTAGCTGAAATGCATTTTATTTCCTACATTGCAACCCATACACATGCATATGACCAGTGTTGAGTTTTGCTCTGAAGTGCACATGCATGCTGGCCATTGCAAGTATTGACATCTCTGAGTCTAAAGAAAAGTTTCCTTTCATCCTGTGGAAACTGTGGTGGGCTGGTATCAACATGCATACATTGGAAAATCTCATTCTATTGAAATCAGGTAGCAGTGGACGGTTAAAACTATTAGGGTCTGTGCTGATGGATTTTGGGCTTTTCTTCATTGACAAGTGCATTGGACCTGCATCTGACTTGTATATGGAGAGAAGCAGTTTCCGACATCAACAAAGGAATGTTAGCACAGGCCCCTAAAGACGACCATGACGGAAGGATTAATGTAGAAAGAAAGACGTTATGTAAGTGGAAGAAAGAATGTCACTGGGTGGCTCGTAATAACGTCTTTTTGAGAAAAAACACATGCGAGAAAAAACATCAGTGACCATCTAAGTGGTTAGTGCTTTTTAGTTCACAGAGTGCCTTTGGTCCAATGTTACTAACTCAGGTCTAAAAATAGATGCACTGTATCTTTCTTGCTTATAGCTGTCAGAAATGGAATGGCTTTGTGTAAACTTTATCTCTTGTTGCTGAATTTAATCCTGTTTCTCCATGCTAGTCTACTCATAAGCCAGAGCTCTAGGAATTTCTAAAGACTGTATCGCTAACATACCGTATATATTGACGCCTCCTGCTACCTAGGCCCTACGATTTCAGCATACTGTAGAAAAAAAAGAGTATTTCTTTCTTCAGCTGCACATCTATTAAACATGCTGATTCAATTTCTTGGTTCTTAGATGCAGCACTGTTGCCATCTAGAATATCTATGATGAAATGCAGTACACGCACACTTGAGTTTATCCTGTCTCCGAAGGCAATGCTTTTGCTGACCAAACAGCAAGGTCAGAAGTCAGTTAATAGGTATGATTTGGGTTTGCTGCAGGAAATCCAAACATAGCAAGAACATACAAACTCCATGTATACAGTGCTACTCACTTCAAAACTTTTATTGATTTTCGTATTAAAGTGGGATTCGCACGTTAAGTAATGCATCATGTCTGATGAACACACCTAATATAATAATAGCCTCTAAACCTTTAATACAGCTTAATAAAAATGTTTTAATAAGTTAGCTGCCAAGCATAGAAGGCAATACGTGCAGGAAATACATTGCTAGTTTTATTTTTTTATTTTATATAAATACATAAAATATAATATATACACTATATATATGTATTATATATATACAGGTGAAACTCGAATAATTAGAATATCGTGCAAAAGTAATTGCAGTAAGTGCTGCAAAAGGGGCAACAATGTGGTCTAGAGTTAGTATCTTTGCCATTTTTGTTACTATTTCCTGTGTCCCCACTGGGGAGATTTAGCCTCATTTCTTGTTCTGGAGACACTCATAGGACATGAGTATAATAGGAAATGAAAATAGGAAAGGAGGAAATATCCTCTAGGTGAGGGTAAATCCCCCTTAATTGTCACTGTTACAGTTGAGAAATTTTGAGTGAATCTCCCAAATGATGACAGCAAGGCAGCAATGAAACCTAATAGTGATTTTAACACTTTCCCACTCTACGCAAAACTAGAAAAAGGTTTTGCCCACAGTTTAAAGGGGCCTACGGCACAGTAAATCAGTGTCATACCTGTTTCTTTTCCGCTTCTTCGAACTCTTCTTTTTCTTCTTTTTTACTGGGGAAGGACTATAAGACTGAGACCTAGATCAAAGTATATGGTAAAAATACTTATTATTCATGCACCAAAAAAACAGTTAACAGTAACTCTTTTTAAAAAATTCTGTCTACTACTCATTTAGGAAATTGCAGATTCAGGAAAACTTATTCTCTACAATGTTATAAGCAAAGATGAGTGGCACTGAGATAAGTTACAATCTGTGAAGATTTGTAAAGAGTAAAACACTGATCATTCAGTACTTAATTTGGCCTTACTCTGTCCTTTCTGCATTCCTTCCCTCCATCCAAACAACAACCAAACCCTAGTATATTGCTTACATTTAAGACACTATGGGGTCTATTCACGAAGCTGCCGAAGGATCTGGCCGTAGCTTCGGCCAATCCTTCGGCTAGCTTCGGCCCCAGGACCCCTTCGGTTCAATAGAATTGAAGGGGTGCTGTACGGGCTATTCACAATAGCCCGTACAGCTCCCGATCATGGCCGAGCGGCTCGGCCGAGCCGAACGAATCGGGCGGCCGGGAGAGTTTTTTTTTTCTCTTTTTGTTGACAGCAGCAGAGCCGCCGGACAATAGGAAACTATTTATAAAGGAGGATCTATTTACAAAGGATAGGGTGTGCACACAGCAAACGTTTGGTAGACATTCGTCTGTCTATATATTACAGCATTCTGCTATAATTTTCAAACAGGACTCCCACAGGATTTCCAAGAAGGCCAACCTAGGCCCGGCCTCGGGGCAGCAGGGAGTAGAGGGGCAGCAGGGGGGTGGAATTCCTATATTCCGATGCCCAGGACATGCAGTCCCGGGCACCAGGGGGTAGTTGTTTTCTACAGTTAGCCCTGCTTTGGGCAAGCAGGGCTAAATGTACAGCAGGGAAGCCGCCGCTTGTTTTGTACAAGTGATCTCGGCGATGTCGCTGAGATCACTTGTATGCAGCCTGCATACAGGGGGACGCATTGAGGAACCTGGCATTGGGGCAGCAGAGACAGTTAATCCGGCCCTGCTCACTCTATTCACCTATCATTTTCAAAGAGGATTTGCCCATCAGTATACAACATAATAGAGAGATTCCAGTTCCAAAAAAGATGTACCATCACATTTAAATCCAAACAAGATGCGTCCTTCAGTCGATGCATTACCCATATAGCAAATCCACTGAAAATGATAGTCGAATGCTGTAAAATACAAATGGATGAATGTCCAGCAAACATTCTCTTAGCGAATTGCAAAGAAAATCCTTTATAAATAGACCCCCTAAGAGTTTATAAATACAATGAAAGGAATGTATCAAAACTGGAGCAGACAAAATCTGGAGTAGCTGTGCATTGAGATCAATCAGCTTCTCTCTTTCATTTTCAAATCTTACCTGAACAAACTGAAAAGAGAAGCCGATTGGTTGCCATACACAGCTGCTCCAGATTTTGTCTGCTCCAGTTTTGATAAATTTCGCCCATGAATTTAAAATTCAAACAAGTTCATAGTGAAGCACAACAATATTCAAAGGGCATTTTGATTGAATGTATATAGATTTGGACCTAAGATATTGGTGCGGCTTATTAATCAATATTTTATCTGGATATGTAATATTTGGTCGCATGTTCCATCTCACTTAATTAATCATAGGGGAAGACCACGTGAAAGCTGATGATGCAGCAACTGATCTGGAGCAGGGGGGGATATAGGAGGCAGACATAAATATGATCATAGCAGGGGGGAGGGGAAAGACCACTGACTATGGAACATTGACAGAGGCAAAAAGAGCAGTGTAAATGCTGACTTTTAATGAAACAGAAGGTGGTAGAAATTCTCGCTGTTGGGGGACACACAGAGGAACAAAAGCCACTAGAAGATTCTAACCCTGCCCTTATTAAAATAGCTGGAGGCTACAGTTTAAATGGAAAACCTTGTGGAACTAACAAACTAACCTTTTTCTTTTTTTACGAACTGATTTTTTCTTCTTCTTTTTGGCTTTAGGAGGTGGTGATGGGCTAACTGTTCCTGCTTCTGAGAGACAATCACTAAATAGAACACAAAACAACAAAAATCAGACAAGATAATTAAAGCTGAACTCCAGTCAGATCTGCTTCTCATAAGTGGACAGGCCCTTGAAGTCCTCACATACAATGCATTAATGCTTGTCCTGCATTGTACTTGTTGACATCATAAAGGCCAAGACCACCCAACCAATGAAGAGGAGCAGATTTGTGGGACCAATTGTATGGAGAGTAGAAAGCCTTACCCTTACCCACTAGGTCAAACAAACCTTTAACCTTTGCGATTTCAGGATAAGGCACTACATACAATTTTTTTTTGCAGACTGGAGTTAAGCATTTAAAGTATAGACTTCAAGTTAATTATTGCAGTCATTATCTTATCAGGGCTCAAAATTTCCACTCGCCTGCTCGCATTTGGCGAGTGGAAATGCAGTGCAGGCGAGTGGAAATTCCTGTCAGGCTTATATTATCTTATATATCATCATGCACACAAACCACTTAAAGAACCCATTTTCCTGATGTCCCCCTTTTACTTTTTTGTGTTCTATGTATCTACCATACACTGAGCTGAATAAGTATTGTCAGGCAACTACCGACGTGCTTGTTTTAGCAGTGTTACGTCACAATGAACGTTGCCTGCAGTTTTGGTGAAGCTCAATTTTCAATCAATAAGTGCCTGGGAAACTTCCAGTTTTGCGCTTCCCATACCCATTCAGTGGGCCATTACTTTGTTATTTTTGTAGGCAAACCCCTGTATGAGCTGTTGGCTTTTGCTGTGGAGAATTCTAATCAAATTGAAGCATGGTTGGATGTTTTAAAAGAATCACACAATGCCATTTTCAAGCATCCTGAGGGGAATTTATACCTACAACTCTCTCTGCTAAAATTACAGTAGTCATGTTTCAGGAGTAAATGCTATTCCTCTTACATGTCCATTCACAGCCACTCTTAAAAGTGTCCTAAACATTATGACAACAGAAAAAGCAGTATTAGTTGTGGTTCTGAGGCTAGTAAGCCTGCAGCAGAGTGCTCACATAGCAGTCTTGATCATGTAGACTGAATTCCCCTATCACACTCGACTTGGAGGTCAAAAAAATAGCTGACTTTAGAGGCTTATCAAGGAAATTGTTTTATCCAGCTCTTTCTCAAAAGGTTTTTTGACATTCAGCAATGTCATAAAGATGGATTGGCTTAGAACTCATGTGTTTTCAATACCACTTAAGCTGTAACGCTATTTCATGTTTCACTGTCAGGTCATCAAATTGACTTTTTATATAATTAAGCCCATTCAATACAAGACATGTCAGAGCTGAGCCTGTTTTTAATTGCTGAATTTGGAAGGGTCAGCGTGTGATTTAAAATGTTATTTCCCCAGAGACCTTATATTGCTTACCTATGGTGCTGGCGCGGGCTAAGTGTTCTCCCATGCCGTTCTGTTGCACGCCCATTCTCCACATCTCCGTTCTGCTTCTTATATTTTGTATCCTCCTGGTCAGCAGATGGTGAACTATTTACTTCTTCACTGTAATTCAAAATAAAAAGATTACATTTTAATATAACATTGGCAATACTATCATATTAAAATGACTAATCTGTCAAGAACCAGATTCTCAGATTCCAAGCAGTCAGATTCCAGATTCTCAAATCTGACTGGATTGGAAAAGGGGTTTTGCCCTCACCAGCCACTGCTAGTGTTACTGTTTATGATAGTGTGTGTACTGCCTGGACCTCTCAGCATTTGTCTGTCCCTGTGTTTGTTCTTTAACTTTCTGCATTGCATGATTTTTAACCTAACTTGTATAAAAGATCGCAAGAAGCCTTAAAAACTGAACTCCAGGCACATAAAAAACACCAGATCATGCAAGTATGTGCTTCTTAAAAAAATTAAGGAGAACTTTACCACTGAGCTCTGTGCACAGCATTCTTGCATATTTTAGCACACTAAAACTCTAGTTGCCCTTCTCTAGTGTTGCGATATTCTAAATCTCCCTTGTCACTTTGTCACTGTTGCTGACATCTTCTGACGGTTTTATTCCTGGTTTGCCATCTTCTGGCTTAGCCATTGGGCAGCCACTGATCATGTAACTCCTAAGTAAGTGTGCTGGAGTTGTATCCTCCTGATACCGACTCCACTCCTGACATCTTACAGATACCTGGGGTGTACACTGCACTGTGCAGGCAATGTACACAAAATAAAACACTGCTAGGTGCCAGAAGGAGAGGTTTTCTAATAAAATAGGTTTTCTATGTATTTTCTTCCCCAAAACATTAAAGCTTTTTTTATTTTGCAACTTTGGATTCACTTTAACTGAGTTTGATTTGTTACCAGCCTTTTGCAATTCCTTGTCCAGCAGGGCTCAAACTGGGAGACAGGGAAGGTGCACAAGCCATTCTTGTGTGCTGTAGTGCTTATGTGCCAGCAAGAGACATGCTGATCAGTCTGCTGCTCTTTCTTCACTGTCCAAGCACTTGCTGGTGACCTAGTTGTGTTACTGTGGCACTGTCTGCAGTGGAGAAAATCAGATCTGCATGGTAGGGCTGTGTAAATCTGTGTAAAATGACCAGACAGAAATACAAATGCTTTGGTGAAACAGCTTCCATATATATATTTCAACTGTGTATTTAGCTGTTTGCCTAGAGTTCAGCTTTTACACTTAGTGGACCAAGAGGAGTGCAACAAACATATAAAGTGTGATCCAATTTGCTCCAAAAAGGCAAACAGCTTTTTTCTAAGCCCTAAAGGCATTTGGATAATACCTTGGATTAACATTCAATGTATTATCTATAAATATGACAAACCAAACCTTATCTAACAAAAATAAAGATTCAAATTATCACTAAATACATTTGTATTTTTTATAATATGGGGAGTGTCACTTTCACAGTGAAGGAATAATGCTTCCTGTGGCATTTACACTAATTTTCATTCAAACTCCCATTGCTTTAATGGGACACGCAGCTCCATGATAGCCAACACTAAATTTGCATTGTGGTGAAAAAAAGGCCTGCATGTCTGAGACCTCCAATGTCCTAAAAGTTTCTACCGATGCCTTTACAGCCATCAGTAATGGACATATTCTGTAAGTGGCCGGCAACCTCTAAACACAGAGATGCTGATGCTTCTTGTGTTTGCCCTTGAAGAATTTGCAAACTGCATCTTCATAGCTCCCTTCTCCCAGGGTCTGGTATGGTTAACGACATAGATGTGGCTGAAACTTTGGTGTCCTTTTCAGAATGCAGTGCCAGAAGGTGATATTGGCTGCTCTAGCATTCACCGAAGAAAAGTAGGTACCAAGCTTTTGAAGAAAAATAATCATACAGCCAGTTTCCATGGATTCTTCACAGTATTATTAGACCTGGAGTACTCACTGTCAACAATGATTGCATTATCTATTGACTAATTTCAGAGTGTCCAGAACAAGCAATTACAATCTACCTTATTCTGTGAAAGTTAAACAGAAAGCCACATTATTCTTTTTCTTAAAGGGAGAATCTTATCTGCAAACAATTTAGAGAAAACGCATCAGAAATGTTTGATAATACAGAAAGCAGTATTAGCAGGATGCCAGAGAAATATAAGTATGTGCCTAGAATTTTATCAGCAACCCCTGAACACATCTTTTCAGCACTCTATTAACAGACAACTTTCTGCCTGACGCCCTCTGATGTTGTTTTCCTAACTGTCAAAACATTGACTAACGGCGTCTGTCACAATTTTATACTGCAGCCAAAAGCCCAGAGAAAGACAATCATTTTGTATGGCACTTTCCTCTCCCACAATGTATATACCAGCACTTTGTTCCTGGGAATATGCAATCCTCAAAATGTACTAAATGGTTTATGGGTTGCATATTGTTGGTTATATGCCAAGGGCAAAAAAAGATAATTGTCCATCATGGCCAACCCGAATAAACAAAATTGCGTGACTTTTAGATTTAAAATCCCAGGTGATTCTGAGTAATGCAAGAATCCTCAAAAAAAAATGGCCAGCTTGCCAAATTCAGAAGAAAACACCCTGCTGGATCCTAAAATGTCTAAATTCAGTTCATAGTTTATAATATTATGGCTTGTACTGCAAATAACCCTTTTCCCAGCTGTGACTTACATCTTGTTTCTTCTAAACCATAACGGCTATCGTATTGTCTTCTGTCTTGACCTTAAAGAAGAACTATGGGGTTAAGGCTTTTCCCCATAGTTCTCCTTAGGGTAACGGGAGGACACAAACTAGCATCCTCCCGTCACCCTAGGCTCAGTATACCGCGAGATGTAGCTTGCGGTATACTGAGACGCCGCAGTATACCGCAAACTGCTGCTCGCAGTATACTGAGACACCGCAGCTGAAGCGGATCCCGACAATTATGTCTGGATCCGCCCAGCTGCGTGACTGACAGCTGGCTCTGCCTATCTAGAGGCAGAGCCAGCTGTACCCGCCCCTCCCCCGTCCGTTCCACCAGTCAGCGCTGGCAGATCGGAGCGGGGAGGGGGGAATCCAGCCCCTCCCCTGTCGCGGCAGAGAGCTGTGACAGGATTGAGAGGTGAGCGAACGCCGGTATGTGTTCGCTCACCTCCCGATCTACTAAGCCGACCTGTGACAGTCTCATTGTCACAGGTCGGCTAGAACTATGAGGTGAGTGAAAGGCCAGGAAGAGGAGACAGTTGTTAGGTGCAAAAATCGCACCAAAAAACACGTGTTACATATATATTTCAGACTTTTTTCATGGTGCTCCCATTGAAGTCTTTTGGGGTCAAAAACATATGATCATGCCGAAAGAAGCTCTTGTACTTTTTTGAGCATTCAGCAACAGCACATTGCTTGGATGTGAAGGGACACAGTACGCTATTTGCCGGCGTATAAGACGGGTTTTGAGACCTTAAAACATCCACCGAAAATCGGGGGTCGTCTTATACGCCGGGTACATATAGAAGGATACGGTATACTGTATGTAGCTTCGGCTACATACAGTATACCGTGCTGAGCCAATCACGGCAGGCTTTGTATTAATGAATACAAAGCCTGCTGTGATTGGCTCGGTGCTGAGCCAATCACGGCAGGCTTTGTATTAATGAATACAAACCCTGTATTCATTAATACAAAGCCTGCCGTGATTGACTCAGCGGAAGACGGAGGACACAGCGGGGATAGTGGACAAGGTAAGAGACTGTAATCCCGAGTGTGGCCCGGGGTTACTGCTTATGGTACTGAAAATTAACCCCGAGCCACACTCGGGAATACCGCCATGGATGTTAGTGGGTGCATTTAAACATTATTTTGGGCTATACTCGTCTTATACGATGAGCATAGCCCAAAACCTATATTTTAACACAAAAAGTAGGGGGTCGTCTTATACGCCAGGTCGTCTTATACGCCGGCAAATACGGTAGTATAATATGGAAATATGTTGAATGTTAAGGTGCTTCTGGAAATGCACTTCCTATTGCTCAGGTGTCAATGGGGACTAGAGCGTATCTAAACCCAAAACAATTTTTTTTGCAGATTACCAGTCCTTAGTTGAATTGTCTGCATTAGTTTTCTTTTTTTGAATCTTGTACTGTATCAGGACAACAGAAACAAGAAAGATCTACTGAACCCCACACCTCTCCTGTTCTGCATAACATTGTGTGGCATGGCTCTGTATTCCTCAGAGATACCTGAGAACAATGTATTCGATAACATTCAGCACAGATAGAAAGCACAGGAAGTTATTAGCTCACAAGATTTCTGGCAAGATCAATGGTGTATTAAACATATATAACAAAAAGCTTTTAAATGTATAATTAGGAAGCCAAAAGGGAGTCAATAACATATTGGGTATTGGGTTTATATACGCTTTAAATTTAACAGTTGGTCTCTGGAGTCTTTTGTATGGGCAATTTTCTATATACGCATACAGATCTAGCCTCCCCATCAAGCTTATAAAAAAGTTGACCTGTTTTTATAATTGAGCGTCTCCATGCCCTGTATTTTGTGATTGGGCATTCAGGTGGTTAGTCTTTAAACACCACCATTAACTAATAGATTTGTCATATGGATTTGTGAATTGGTTAGGCTTAGTCTTCAAAAACCAGCATTAGCAAATGGTCATATGGATTTAAGTCCCATAACATCTGTTACTCTACATTACAATAAGTAGCACTGCAGTTAAAGTGTCTTGTGTTCAGCATTAGATCTGGAATTGTGACCATTATGCCATTATTATATTACAACTCATTACAGGCATATAACAAAATAATGCATACTTTCTATTAATTATTATATTCATTTGTGCATATTACTAGATAAAAAAATAATTGTATCTGTTTTCATTAACATGAACATTTTACAAGTGCAAAAGGAAGTAACTTTGCTGGGCATCTGTTGAGGGGGGATAAAGAGTGATAAATGTATTATAAGCTTGCTAATAACACTCATGCTGCTAATGAATTTGTTTTTGTTTTGAAACACAAAATTATTTATGATGATAAAAAACTGGATAGGAAGAGTATTCGGTCTTGTTTGCACTAAATGTGTTTTTGCTTGCTTTTTATGCTGGTAAACATGTTTACATAAAAAGAAGCAATCTTCCTTAATGGTCACAAGAATATGAGATGTTAAAAATAGGGCAAACTGTATTTTTATTCTCTTCACAAGCATTTTTCAGTTCAACTGGTTTCTTCACAATGCACCAAAATTAGAACATCAATATTAAAAACATGTCAAGGCTACATGAACTTTATCATACACATACAGGTCAAATCTATTCCAGTCCATTTACTGTCAAAAAGTATTTCAGGTATAATGGTGGCTGGATATCCAGCTTTATTCTGCATGTTAAATAAAAATGTTTTTGTTTTTATTTGAAATAAAAATAAAAAAAACGCTTAAATCCTTCATTTAATTGATCCTCATGCATACAGTTTCTTACTGGTAATAGCTTTAGCAATACACTTTAGTCATGTTATGAAAGTACATGCTGTGCTCTAACCAATCCCAAAGCCTGCTCATATTGCATTACAATGGTTGGTCATGTGAGCTAAAATAAAGACTGCAGATCCAGTCTTGGGTTACTGAGTGCTGTATAACCAATGACACCCTCACCCCCTATTCTATACATCAGTATTAACCGAGTTCACTGTATGAGTTCAGTACAAGGTCATATTAGTATGGGACGGTAGGGTAAGGGGCAGAATTCT